CGGCGTCGAATCAGGTGACACATCCGAGCCAAGCACGGGCTGCGCGGGCTGCGCGGGCATCAAAGCAGCTGCGCGGGTGGAGCAGGTTGGTAAGACCTCTCTGGTGGCCCCCCGCAGGCGGCCCCGATGCGCAGGCTGCTTCGGCACTAAGGCCACTCTTGCGACCACCTGCCCGCCAGTGACCTTCGCCGGCTGCGTCGGCATCCTCGGCATCTTCTTCGACCTCGGCACCAGCGTCGCGGCTCCCTGCTTGGGGCCGCTCTGCGCCGGCCGCCTCGGCATCTTCTTCGCCCTATACTTCGGCTTCGCCGGCGCATCCACTTCAATATCGCCCCCCGCCGGCACGTCCGCCTTGCCCTTCTCGTGGCGCGAAGTTGCGGGATCCACATGAGGCAACGACGAGCCACCTGGCGGTCCAGCTGCGTCAGGTTGCCGACTCGCTGCGGCCTCGTCGCTCTGATCTCCTGCTGCGTCAGGCTGCTGACTCGCCGAGGCCTGACCATCCTGATCTGGCGATGCTCCTGCGTCAGGCTGCACGTCAGGCTGCTGACGCGCCCAGGCCTGACCACTCGGAGCTGGCTGGCCTGCTGCATCAGGCTGCTGACCCGCTGAGGCCTGGGCGGGCTGCTCGTCATCAACGCGCGCGGTCTCAGCAATATGTTGCCAGGCCAATTCCAGCGCCCACCGCAGGTTCTGCTCCGGCCCAATCACCAGGAGCTTCCTGGGGACAATGCCGCCGAACTTCTTCTTATAACGGTCTCGACCTCGAATTGACGCCCAGCATCCCGTGAGCAAATAAATCCGATCCTGCTGTGGCCTACTGAGAGTGCCGGCACCGTTGTGGATCCAGACGGGCTCGAGTGAGCTGTGTCCTGAAGGGTCGCCTTGGTCTGGCATTTTTTGACTCTTGAGCCAGAACGCCCACGGCGGTGCGGACGTCGACCCTGGCTGATTTCAACGAAGGGGCAGGGCCGAGCCACTGCTCCCTGAGCATGGGCAAGCCCCGCTCTCTCAAGTTGGGGCATGAGGTGAGGATGCAAGGCCCCTGGACTTCCACATCGGACGTCCTTGGACGTCGAATCTGGCGTGGGATTGACTGCAGAGGCAGGGATGCATGGGTGCCCTCGCTGGGGCACAGACTGCAGAGGCAGGGATGCAAGGGTGCCCTCACTGGGGCACAGTGTCCTAAGCATGGGCTTTGACTTAAAGCGCTTGCACGGATGGAGGGCGGCTCCTTTGCACAGGGAGCTCGGGTGTGAATGCGTCGCGCGTCTGTCCTGGGGGCGGGCCCAGGATGGAAAGTGACCCAGTATTGGAATGGCCCAGGGGCGTCATTGGGCGGAGGGGAGTGCATTGCAGCATCGTCAACGCATTTCGATTTTTATTTGCTTTATTGCAGCATCGCCGATGCATCTCGGGATACATGTGCTTACCTTTTCCAAGCGCCACGGACACTCCATGGGGCGCTGAACTCTCTCTCTCGGGCGCCGGCAGGCGCGGGCAGCCGCGGCCGGCAGGCTGCGGGAATCTTCCCAAAGACGAGCCTGCAGCCCGCACGAGCAGGCAGATGCGAAAAATGCAACAGTTACGCGCATATCACTTAGGCAACAGTGGGATGACACTGCCTGCAACTTCCACATATGTGATCTTCCGACATGCGCCCAGCACTTTGAGCAAGGTGGCGCCCCGCCGCTCTGGCTCCAAGTGGTCGCGGGCCCGCGGGCACAATGCGGCGCGCGCATAGACGATGGCTGCGCGAGAGCCCCACGAAGGGAATGCGCCGCAAAACCAACACACTTTGCCTATAGTCGGGCCCGCGGCCGAGGGAAATAAGAGCAGCGTGTCTCTCTGGATGACCCCGCATCGAGCGCGAGCTTTACGGGCCAGCATGATGACATTTGAACACCCTGGCTCTTCGCGCCTAACTAAGCTGTGCACCTTGTCTGCAAGCGCGGTGCCCTCCTGGCCCTGAGGCAGCACTGGGTCGACCAACGATTCTGGATCGAAGCATGCAGGGTCTCTGAAATCACCCATCGTGCGCAGCAGCACCCTTCGAATGGCGACTGACTCGAATGATCCAGCGCCAGCGTCTTTGCACTGCTGTTTCGCAGTTTTTGCAACCGCCTTCACTAGCTGGTGCTTTTTTCCATGCAAAAACAATTCGCCTCTATCTGAAACCTGCCGAGGCACGCCACTACGTGGTACAAGAGGTGGAACTTGGGTTTGATCCCGTCCTTCCCCCAGCACTGCAAGTAGAGCGTGCGGTGCTCCTCCAGGAGCCTCCAGAGCTCGGGCGCGCGCCCCGCAGCAGCGTCGCCCGACCTGGGCCGGCGGGGGGGGGATGGGAGATAAGAGAGGACGCGGGGGAGGAGGAGGAGGAGGACGACGAGGGGAGGAGGAGGGAAGGCAAGTGGGAGAGAGGGGAGAGGGGATATGGGGGAGGAGGGAGGAGGAGGGAGGAGGGCGGGGGGGACAGGAGGAGGAGGGATGAGGTGGAGGCCCGCTGGCCAGAGCCAACACCCCAATTTCCCGCCTCCCTCCACCTCCTCCTCTTCCTCCTCCCCCATCGGCATTCCCTCCCCTTCTCCCCCCCCCCCCCTCCTCCACGTTTGGTCCCGCGACGACCTGATAATGCTCAGGAACTCCCAGAACTTGGTTAGGGCCTGAGCTTCTCGAAGTACCTGGCCCGGCAAATGATGGGCGAGACCGCCCGAGATAATCCACAACTGCAGCGCGTCCAACGCCTGGAGGGTCTCCCCCGCGAACGCGCGGAGGCTGCCGTCAGGGTCGTCGCTGAGCCTCTTCTGGGAGAACTGGCGTCGCAACCTCTTCAGCGGGTGGGGCCAGGAGATCTTCTCGGAGAACTCATCCACGACCATCGGGTGTAGGCCGCAGTTCTCCAGGCTTGCAAAAAACACTTGAATGAGGTGCTGCCCGTGGCCGCCAGGAGCTGCGGCGCAATGCGTCCAATCGTCATGCGTGTGGTCCACTGGATTGATGTACGTCCGCAGCCACATGTCGCCAGGCAGCGCCTCGGGGTGAAATGTGATGCCCCATATCTTCTGATAGTCTGCAAACACGTACTTGAGCCCATCGACGCGAGACGCGTGCTCCAGCCGATCGTACTTGTAAAAGAAATCAGCACTGCTCTGGAGCTGGAACTCCGCCGGCTTCGCAAGGGCATAGTGGCGCGCGTCGCCGCGCAAGTCGCGGTCTGTATTCACAATTTTACTGCACCTGCAACAGCGCGAAAATCCACCGCAACCTTTGATTGAAAACGCCTTCTTGAAGGCGTCTGCATCCTGGCACAGATCCGAGCGTTCCACTGAGCATGAAAGTTTGGTTGCCCCCGCAAGCCACCCTGAAACCAGTCCGAAAGCTCGCTCGCTCACCAGGGCCGAAGAACAACCTCAGAATGATGCGCAGCAAGCCTGACAGCCCGCCAGGCACAAGATGCAACGCTGAGGACCTGAGCGCCCCGAAGCACAACCATCCAGAGTCCTGGGCGCGAGCGTGTTCAGGAAACTGCGAAAACGTCCAATATATGCACATTGTCTCGAGATCGTTATCTGGGCGGATCAGGGTGGATGGGTTTGTCTCGTCGCAATACAGAATGATCGATGCACAGCCCCCCGTGGGGGCGCATATCTGGCGCAAAAAATATCCGAACCAAGGGTGTTGCGCACAAACATGACTCATCAGCGCGACTGGGTGGCAAATTTCCCATGTGAGCTCGCCGACCAGCTGGGGCACGGTGATGTCCTGCAGAACGCTTCCAAAAGGAGTGCTTGCATTCACCTCGCTGCTCACCGCTTGCGTCACCGCCTGGCGGGTAATGGGGCCCCAGCCATCGATGCTCGGCGCGATCTTGACAGCTTGTCGAACTGACAAGCCTGGAGCGTCGACAAGCCACTGAAGGCATTGCCGTTTCTGGCTCCTCTCAGCCATGAGCCAAAATGGCTTGAGCGAGAAATGGTTGCGGGAGGGGAAAGGGGGAGGAGGGGGAGGGGGAGGAGGGGCGAGGGAGGAGGGGGAGGGGGACTGGCCCGCCGCACCGGCAGGCAACGACCACCGACTCCAGCATGCCCGCGCTGCCGCTCCGCCGCTGCCGCTCTGCTGTTGCTGCTGCCGCTGCTTTGATATGCTGCTGTTTTCGCTGATGATTTTGATTGTGATGTTGTTTCTGTTGTGTTTGGTTTTATTGCCTTTTGTGTTGCTGGATCTGTAGCTGTTGGTGTAGCTGTTGCTGTTGATGTTGTTGCCGTTGCTGTTGCTGTTATGTTGCGAGCGATGTCTCAGTGTGGGCGCCCGCCCACTGAAACGTAACTGATCATAAGGAAAACGTAACTGAACATAACTGAAACGTAACTGATCGGAACTGAACCGTAACTGATCGTATGTTAGCAACGCCCATAAAGCGCATTGGTGTTCGGCGGTGGTAACTGAAACGCTAATCAGATATAATCAGGTAGCAAAGTAATTATAAAACTTGCGATTTGCATTTATAACAAGCCGATGTGTTTACAGTTCGTCTATACATGAAACATCCGTTATATTTGACCTATATTTACATGGGCGATGTATAAGCCTACTAGGAGGCCTTATACTCGAGCTTGCATGGTTTATAGGTCGAACTGCGTATCGTAACAGCGCGCGGGCCGTTGAGCAGAACCCACCGAAATCGGCCCGGAACCAATAACCCCGAACCCGGGAACCCGGGAACTCGGAACTGGGATCCCAGGAACCCAGCCTGCTACCAACATTGGCGGGAAATGTTCGCCAAATCTTTCAGCTTCCGCCAGGACCCCTCCAGTGCAAGGACTGATTGTGGAGCAAGGCGCCAGATGGTCCGCGGGCCCGTCAAACAACTAACGTCAGGAAGGGGTCGAGACTTCTTGAGGCCCCCCGTGCCGAAAAAAACACACCAGGCAACAGATGGTTGCTTGCTGATGGGGCGAGTTGGAGCGTAGCTTGGCACATGCTGCGAGCACGTGCTGGCCATGCGCTTCCTCATCCTGTGTAGAGTCCACTGCGTGCTTGGTGCTTGTGGGCGCTCCTCGGCCCCGCCCCGCTGGAGTCCCCTCGCGCGGAAACACTTCGCGCGGGCGTTGCATCTCACCGTGTCTCGGGTGGCGGCCTTGATCGGCGCAGGGGGTGCTATAGAGTGACAGTGGGGGCGCGCATCAAGAAACCAGATTATTTTCGTCAGGGTATCCTCGGTTTCTTTGCTCCACGCGCTGCGCGGCGACTTCCCGCGGCCGTTGAAGGAGCTGCTGCGTTCAGGGTGCTCCGGGTTCCCCTCCCGTGCACCTCGCGCGCGGGCTCTCAGGGTTGAGTTTCTCTCGCACTGTAAGTCGGGCGCGTCTCTCTACAGGAGGAATATTCAAAAATAGTCCACAAATTATATGGGGACGATGTTTGGAGTATGGTTTGACCGTTTGGGTGTTATTTGTTGCGTACTTCCGTTTTTCGTCCAACATCCCCTTGTAGGAGGACAGGCCCGACTTAATGCTAAAGGGATCGGGTGATTATCAGAGGATACTCAGGCGGGTTATGTCTGGCGTGGCCTAGCTTCTGAGTCGGTTACACGCGGCCCAAGAGCCATAGGAGGGGTAACTCCATGAAGTGGGTGGAGCCCACTTAGCCCAAATCTTTTACCCCCGCAAACCGCTTATGGTTCGTATAGCCCGATTGTAAGCTCTGTTATTCCAGGTATGACCACCCACGTCGGCATGCACTGATCACCCCCGGTGTTCTCTCAGCAACCCCCGCTCTGGTACAAGCAGGACGGCGGCGACGGCGCGACGACCTCCATCCTCGAGGAGTAGGAGGAGGGGAAGAACGACGACGACGACGGTGACGAGAACCTCGCCGATCCTCGAGGATCGGGGAGGTCGTCGTTCGAGGATATAGGGTCGAGGAGGACCCCTCTCTCCAATCCAGAATCGAGGATCGAACAGGAGGTCTTCGATCCAGGATCGACGATCGAGGAAGTCAGTTTGGCAGTTCCCTACGGCGAATCAGCGCCGCCCTCTGCCTTTTGGAAGTGCCTATGTTGGCGAACGTTGTGGCCATAGCTCGGCCAAGCTATCGGATATCATGTGTTCCCCCAGCCGTTGTGGAAACGCTCTGGGGAACACGTGGGGGAGGTATCTAATGGGAGGAGGGATCTTTTCGGTCTTTCCTGGAAGCTCTCTTGGAGGCCTCTTGAGGACCTCTTGGGCCGTCTTGAGCTATCTCGGGGCCATATTGGATGCATTTTGACCGTCTTGGAGGCATCCTGGAGGTCATCGGAGGCTCTTGAGGCCATCTTAGACGTCTTGGAGGCATACTGGAGGTCATCTTCAGCCACATGGGCCGTCTTTGAGCGGGAAGGTGGGTCTTTCCGTGCAGCCGGCGGTGCTGGCCGAAATTCCGTTGGGAACTCGTTGAAATGACCAATGACTGCCAGAGAGTCAGCTTGCCGTGCACCCCTTGTGGCCGGCTCCTCTCCGGCGGGAGGGGAAAAGGGGGCGAAGCAAGCGGGGGCGAGGAGGCAAACGGAGAGGGAGCCCAAGAGGCGGGGCCTTGGTGCGGGAGGTCCTTGGGGGGGAAGGAGGTGGCGACTTTCGCAGGGCTCATCTCGATTGCCCCGATTCGATTCGATTCGATTTCGGTGGATTCCGATTCCGATTCGATTCGACTTGGGATTCCGATGTGGATTCCGATTTCTCACTGGATGCGTACAAGCCTGCCGATTTCAGCCGATTCGATTCCTTCCGACTTGGCTGCCGATTTCCGCCGATCCAAGTAATTTCGATCGCCGATTCGACTTATCGATTCGAGTCTGGGCTCTCCTGCCTTCGTCGTGGCGCGTCGTCCGTCCAGCCTCCCCCATGATGCCCCGCCCCCAGCTCTCGCAGCAGCGCGGGGCACGAGGCCCCGGGCCTCGCGCCGTCGAGTGCCGTGCCCGTGCAGGAATGCGCCGACGGTTATTGCGGTCGATGTATGTCAGGAGGGGAAAAAACACACAGACACAATTAATCGTCGATTCCCCAGAAAATATGGGAAAATATGGGAAGTGGGGGGGAGGGCAAAAACCCAGAAAATATGGGAAGATATGGGGCATCTTTTTATTTGTGTAATTATTTGTGTGTCCTGGGGCCCCTTCAATATGGCGCAGCGCCAGGCCATGATGCCTGCCTGCAGTCGAAGCAGAACCAGCTACACGAGCATCAGTTGTCGGTGCTGCGCGCGGATCTCTTGGGTCGTCGCTGGAGACGACCTCCCCCCGCTGGTTCCCCATTGAGTACCAATCGGCCGTCGAAAGGATGGTTTTGGGATTCCATTGTTCCATCCTACGTTCGGCGCGTTTCTACTTCAGTCATCGAATGGTTATCCATCTTTCTTCCTCTTCAGGTGGGGCGGAGATGCAGCATACGTCTTAGATGCTCGTGTTTGAGTCCTTCCTAGAGCGCACCTGATGTATTTGTTCGAGTCTAGGTTGGCTATGGTTCGATTTTAGCTGAGCTGTAGCTCAATTATATTTCGCCTCGACTTCGACTCAAGTTGATTTGCGTTCGACGCAGAATCGACTTGCGTTCGACGCAGAATCGAGTGGCTCCAGGAAGGCCCCCAGAACGAACACCTAATACTTCCAACGCTCTCCTACTTCAAGGTTAAAACCGTTTTTTTCGGACCGATGGGCGACGTTGCCCCCACCCCTCCCGAGCAGCAGGAGCACCTCACGGAGTTGCGACAGCACCTCGGGGGGGAGGATTTGTTCAAGGCCGTGGACTCCAAGGCCTGCGCGCGGAGCCGCAGGGAGGGTTCTGGAGACTGCCGACGAGTTCGTGCGGCCAAGACGCTGGAGTATCGGAGGTGGAGAGATTGTTGGAGCTGGCTGGGCTCCTGGGGTGGCCCCCATTCCCATTGCCCCTATCTACTATCTAGCGAAACCACAGCCAAGGGAACGGGCTTGGGATAATCAGCGGGGAAAGAAGACCCTGTTGAGCTTGACTCTAGTCCGACTTTGTGAAATGACTTAGGAGGAAGGGGGGATAACGGGGCCCCTCGTCGCCCGGGGTGGGCGCGTCTCGAAGAACTGAACAGGTTCGACCTTCGGAGGTCTGTGGACCGAGATTGATCGAGTTGCTTCGGGCTCCCTCTCAACATATTTCCGCTGTGCTTACCCAGCTCGGACACATCGACCGCGTCCAAAACAGACTTCCCGCCCCAGCAGGAGGACGAGGAGGACGAGGAGGACGAGGAGGAGGAGGAGGCAGAGGAGGAGGGGAGGGAGGGGGAGGGGGAGGGGGAGGGGGAGGAGGAGGAGGAGGAGGAGAGGAGGAGGAGGAGGAGAGGAGGGAGGAGGAGGAGGAGGAGTAGGAGGAGGAAGAGGAGGAGGAGGAGGAGGAGGAGGAGGAAAGGAGGGGGAGGTGCTGGGGACGGGGGGTCCAGAACACATGTGCTGCCCACTGCCGAAAACATGGAACAGGTCGGCTTCAGAGGGGGTCCATTGTTCCGCAGGTCCCGCCCTGGCTGTTCCTCTGGCGTTCCCCTCCTGCACCCTAGAGTGTTGGGGAGGGCCAGAACAGAGTGGCATCGCTTTCTTGTGCGTTCCCCTGCGGCACTGCACTAGTCGCCTCCACCGCCCAGTTCTCGGGTAGGGGATCGACTGCAGCATAGAGTTGCACCCAATAATTGTTTCCTCTTTCGAGTTCATGAACAAATCTATAAGGTGCGTAAGTTCGGCGGGGAACTCGATTCTGGGGTAGATCAATTCTGCAGACGATGCCCTGCTCGAAAGCCGCGAGCCCGCAGCCTGGTCGCCGCTCCGACCGTGCTGGTCGCCCGCCAGCTCTGCAGCTCTGCGACCAAGAGGGGTTACGGCAGCTTGACTGCAGGCCTGCGCGGCCCGGGATGTCCGCATCGTCTAGCTTACACGCCGGTCGTTGATTGGAGGTGTTTCTTGATTCCCACGTTCCATTCTATTTGAAGCGCCTCCCTACTACTTCAATGATCAAGTATGGTTCCTTCTTCCTTCCTCTTCAGGGGGAGGGCGGAAATCCCATCTGCTTCCAACGCCTCCCTACTTCATCTTTCTACCCACTTCGTCCGACCGACTGGCATCCCCGTCTCCACTGGGCCATGACATCCCAGCCCACCCAGCCCGCCCTCCCATGTATCCGAGGCGCAGACGGTGCCCACACCGCTCCCCTCGCCTCATCTCCATCCCTCTGTCGGCAGACTGGACGGCCCTCGTCGCCGGCACTGGATCCCCCTCGAAGCTCACGTGAATTACCTACCCCGCTTTCGCTTCCAGGCAAAACCAAGTCATACCACGCGCCTCCTCGTCAAGCGGCCTGACCAGTACAGGCCGTAGTTTGGCATCGCTTGGGATCTCTTGGAAGCGAGGGTGGTCAAAAGCGAGGTAGGTATGTTTGCCCCCCACCCCTGGGAGGTCTGAAACGCAGCGGCCTCGGCGCCTCCCCGGGCCGCCCCAGCACGGGCGGCGAGGGCCCCGCGGCGCCCGAGGGGCCAGGGCCAGGCGCACAGGCTCCCCGCCTAGCTGGGCCCGCCTGCCATGGTGGGCCGGGGCCCTGCCGGTCGGAGGGCGCTCTGCCAGCCCAGACCCCCTCGAGCAATGAAAAAATCACGACGGAGGGTTTTTCGTAGTTTTCGGCCTCCGGGGGCCCTCACCGGGCCTCGGGAGCGTCAAAAAACGATTCAGGATGAAAAACCGGTCATGGGGAAAGGGTCGGGACCTCTGGGGTCGACGTAATGAAAACATCATGACGTCGGGGGTCTGGGTCGAGGGCGCCCCGTCGACGGGGCGGCTCGTCGAGGGCGCCCCCGACGAGGGCGCCCCGTCGAGGGCGATCGCCGCGCAGCCGGGGATGCCAGGACGTCGCCTTTCCCCCGAGCGGCTGCGCGCCGCCTCCTGCCATGTTCTGCGGCTGCTGCTCGCCCCGTCGTTCTCAGGGAGTCCTTCGGATACCTTGGGAAATCCATCGGGTTCTTCAGGATATCCATGTGATGCCTCAGGACATGCATCGGAATCATGAGGACATCCATCGGATTCCTGAGGACATCCATGTGATTCCTTCGGAAGTCCAAAGGATGCCTCGGG